AATATGGTAGAAAACAAAAAAATCCTTGCGGAAAAATTAAAAAAACATTTGAACTCGCCGGAATATGTGGCGATGCCCGATTTAATTACCCATGACGATCGACATGGAGACATGTTAACTTGATTATGAGGAAACAAAATAGATGGTAATATTCACAAAAAAGATAATTGAATTACTGGCACAGACATAAATTCAGACAAAGGGAATAAATATGAAAGCGAACATATGGTTTGTTATGATGAATTAGAAAAAGATGATTGAGAGGAAATTGTTAATTTAATTGAGAAACGCAATGAAGAAAAAAAACAAATATACGAGCAAAAACGAAGCAAGATTAAGGATAATTTAAATAACACTCCCAACTTGTATTATCGTTTTTCTGCTAGTGAAAGAATTAGCCATTCTTATTTTACTTACCCCGATAAACATGGGAAATATTTCTATATTTGAGGTGTAGAAAACGGACGAGAATTTTATTTAAATATCAATGCTAACAATCCAGTTTTAAATAATTTCCCTTGACAAAAAAATGGTTATTATTTAATTGAAACTGATAAGAAAATTGAAAGGAACGACGAGTTTGGCCGACCATGAAGCGACGGTGGCGAAACTAATCCAAGTAATTTTCATAAATGAGTAGAAGTAGGCGATAAAATTACTATCACTCCTTATGAAGTTGAGAATGATAGTGAATTATCTGAAACTGAAAAGGCAAAATCAAAAGCAAAAGAGATAAAAGAGTGCGATATTTGTCGAAAGAATGAAAATGAAATGGCTAAGGGTACGGAAAAATGATACCGCCTGAGTCGTTATTGCGGACAAAAGAGCGAAATACTTCACACCTGCTCTAATTGTTATGAAAACAAAGAGCAAGAATATTTACAAAATTATGAGTTTATTTTTACTTTCCCCCCAAAAGATTTAACGCATGATGGCATTCCCTTTTTTATTGAAACTATAAAAGGAGGTAAAGTTGATTGCTACGCCGGTCATAAAGACCAAAATGGTAAAATATTACAACAACAAAATTGTTCCCATTGTCAACCTTGGAAACAGCATCAAAATCCAAAGGTAAGTGAAATGGATATTAAATCTTTAATTCAATACTTACAAAAATACAGTATCAAGGAAATAAGTTTCAAAAATGGCGAACTAATCATCACGCATAATAATAATATTGTCTCCACAAAACAAATAAATAATAAGCAAGAATTAGTTACAGCCCGCACCCTTTTTCAAAAGACTAACCAAACAAAAATAACTAAGGAGGATTTAGAAAAAATGATTAACCGTAATTCTAATTCCGCCTCAACTAAAAATCCGAAAGGTGATAATGCTCTTTGAATTGGTATTGGCGTTGGAATAGTATTAATAATTGAAGTAGTGGTTGGCTTAGTGGTAAGCAAGAAAAGAAAAAATTAATATATTGAGCAATTGGAGGTCATTAATCACAAAGGTAAGGTAGTAAATAAACTTTCTCTTAATTCGGCGAGGTGGGAGGTTCCGCTTTCTAAATGAAATATTTCTCTCGTTAATCGTTATTATTTGGCTAATCAACGGCAAGGGACTAGCAAAGTAAAAACTCGTGGCGAAGTAAAAGGTAGCACCCGAAAAATTTATCGACAAAAAGGAACCGGTGGGGCACGTCACGGCCATCGATATGCTCCCCAATTTGTTGGGGGGGGGGGGTATGTTTTGGTCCTTCCGGGGTGAAAAATTATAAATTCAAAATCAATGAAAAAGAATTAAAGAAAGCCCTCCAATCACTTTTAGGAGAAAGAATGAGAAACAAAAAATTAATGGTAGTTGATAAGTTAGAACTAGATAATTATAAAACCAAAGAAGCTGAAAAATTCCTTAACCTTTTACCAGCCAAACAAGCCAAAACTTTACTCATTTTAGCCCACCAGGAAGAAAATAAAGAAAAAATAATCCGTTCATTTCGCAATTTGCCTTACATAAGTATTAGTGATAGTAAATCAGTAAACGCTTATCAAGTAATGTCCCCTAATTACCTCATTTTCACTCACTCAGCTTTTTCAGAAATAGAAAAAAGGTTAAATTAAAAATTGCAAATACAATGAATAAAGAGTTACCAAGGGATGTTCTAACCCAAACTATATCAGGAACAATAGCAGGAGTATTGAGCGGATTAATTGTAGTTTTGGCTCAAAAACACCTAGAAGGAAGGATAAAGAAATTGGAAGAAAAAGAGAGAAGGAAAAATGAGCAAGAACAGTATAGTGGACTAAGCAAAACGCTTATTACATTTAAAAAAATGCACATCGATAATTCAAAACGACATTCTTCATTCACCGGTTGGCATGAGATAACGCCAAATGGAGAGAAAAAAGAGGAATACAATGTTGCTTTCAGAATAATTAGAAAATGATTAAATAAGTTGCTGATTAAAATCTCTAAATATGGTAAAGAAGATTCTTATTATAGCAGTGTGTACCCACAAAGGAAATGTTCCTTCATATGAATGTTTAAGTTGAGGGAAATATAAAGAAATTGTAGGAAAAAGTAAAAATTATTTTAAATATTTTGATAACCTAAAGAAAGATAGCAATAATACCGATAAATGCTGTAATGTTTTGTTTTCAGAAGAGGAAATTAGCTCTTTTTGTTCAAAAGTAAATGCTGAAATTTTATAAATTTGTTTTGCTATTTATTTAGCCTCAAAATAGCCTTAGCACCTAGTATTTTCAGACTAGATAACTGTTGCCAGTTCTTTTCTTTAATTTCTAATTAGTGGAACCAACTAAGAAATCTTTCGGATTATTCCAAAGGATTACCACGATTTTAATAAATATTTGGTAAATCCAATTAGAACTTAACTTTGCCCTGTTTTACTTCCGGTAAAGTCCGCTACTAATCCTTTGGCATGCTTCAAAAGACTTTCCAGCGAAAGTGTGAAGTATTTTTTTTACTAACTTTTACCATGGATAAAGAAGTAGGGAGAAAATATAACCCTTGAATGGATTTTATAAACTTTTGCTTATAACTTTTTCAACATAAGTATTATTTTATATAGTTTAATTATTCAAATGTCAAATGGCGGAGTGGGAGAGATTCGAACTCTCGAGTTGAAACCAACTACTTCTTTAGCAGGGAAGCGCCTTCGACCGCTCGGCCACCACTCCAACAATATTAATATTTTTTAGTTTTTCAGTTCAGTACTTGCTGCTTTTATCTTTAACTTTTTTTATGCCTCGACAACTTCAATAGTATCATTTTCATTTAGAAATCAAATTGAAGTAGTTTGAAAAATACTTTCTGAAGCCGCATCTAGTTCAAAACTAATTTTGTATTGCGAGTTTATTTTTAAAAACTTATTGACTGCCGTATTTGCTTGACTAATGTAGATTATTTTTGAGTTTTTTTTTGCAACAAAACTTCCATTTTCTTCCTTTCCTTCCATAAAAACATAATGGTCAGCACCTGATGGATGTGTATATCCTAATTGTAAAGTTATTTTCTTTTTGCTTGGAGGAGGATTATTATTTCCAGGCGGAGTTGGTGTTTGCCTTGGCTCGTCCGGTCAATTACCTAAGGGAGTTAAAGTAAATTTATTGTTATTTTCATCAAAATGATAATTTTCCTTTTCTCCTCATCCAGTATTTTCATTTTTATATTGAGAGGCATCTTTTTTCAAGAAAGAAATTTTAAAATTCGGAACTTGCTTTCAATTAACTTTGTCCCAATTTTTCCCCTTCCAAACAGGGTTTTTTTTGGAAATTAATATAAAAATCGGTTTTTTCTTTCCGCTATCTCAATCACCAGCCTTTAAATTGTTAGAAAGCATTACATCATCTCCTACAGCTGAGACAAACCTAATCTCCATTTCTACTTGGTCAGAATTGGGCTGAGGAGAAGGAATATTAACTGGTGTTAGTTGAAAATTGTTATTTTTTTCGTCAAAAATGAAATTATTTCCTTTTTTTTCAGCATCTTCTTCATTGAAAGAAATAGCATATTGGATATCCTTTATATATAAGGCATTATCGGAAGAAAAAATTTTGTTTTTGGGGTCAATTAAAATCCGTTCTTGGTAATTGGAAAGGTTGATATATTCCCATTTTCCTCCTACTGTGCCGTTGCATCTAACCGTAAGTTGTCGGTGGGTTTTATTAGTTGGTGGACTTTGAATTGGAGGAGTGGTTGGATTATTCCCTTTTTTTAACTTGGTTAACTTCTGATTTAAGTTATCTATTTCCGTTTGTAATTTTTGTTTCTCGACCGGATTATTTTCGGCTGCCAATTGACTTTTTACTTGCTGTAATTTAGTTTGAACTTTCTCAATTTCTTTTTCATTTTGGGCTTTTTGCTCCTTATTTTTCGAGTTTTTAGCACTTTTGGCGGTCTTTCTCCCCACTAAAAATATTCCCACTCCCAAACTAACCGCTAGGATAATTAAACTAATTATTTTTATACTTTTTTTAGTTCTTTTATTCATATACCTTAATTTTAATTCCGGCCATATTTTACTCTAATTTAGGCTTCCATAATTTCTAACTCTTGATTGAATTCATCAAAATCGTGTGCAAAACCTCTCATAAACTCTCTATCCACCTTTCCATAACGAATAATAAAATGTTTATCCGGTTGCAATTTTCCTGCTTTTAATAATTCCTTAATTCGGGGGTGGTTTTTGCTAATGTAAAGGACTTTTACCTCATCTTTCGGAAGATTAACGAAAGCATAATCACTAAACTCCCCTTTTTCATTTATCGCCTTGCCACAATACCTGACTTTTATCTCAGTTTTCCCTGTTTTTTCTGGCTCTTTCTGATAGGGTTTCAAAGTAAACTTATTATTATTTTTACTGAAATAATAAACCTGGTCATGGGTATTGGGATATTTCTCAGCATCCTTGGGCGAAAAAGTGATAGTGTAATTGTGACCCTTTTTGGTTAGTTCGCTGTTCGGAAAAATTGGATTTTCCTCGCCAATGAGAATGATTTTATCGCTTCTGTAGTCAATGTCAACTCACATATGATTTCGTCCTAATTTCGAATGATAATAAACTTTAATTTGTAATTCATTTAGGTTAGTGGGAGAATTAGGCTTATGAGGTGGATTATTTGGAGTTGGTGGTGGGTTATCCCTTGGCTGATTAGGAGCGGGTTCTTTTTTTACTGGTAAACTGCTTTTTCCACTTGCTCTTCCGATCAAAAAGGCTCCACTGACTAATAAAGAGAGAATGATTATTCCACCAATTATTAAGACTGTTTTTTTTTTTTTTTTTGCGGAACTGTCATAATTAATTATACTTTATTTTTACCGTTAAATTTTATAAACTTTAAATAAAATTAGACCTTAATCTCTCCTTCTTCTTTGCCTTGCTTAGCCTCAATAATCGCCTCAGCCACTAAATTAGCAAAAAAAGTAACCGACTTGGCACTTTCGTCATTACCCGGAATAACATAATCCACCGAACGAGGATTACAATTAGTATTACAAACCGCAATCACTGCTACTCCCATTTTTTTGGCCTCCTTAAAGGCCGTTTTTTCTTTATTTAATCCAACAATAAATAAGGCATCGGGCTTCTGATATAAATTAACTACTCCTTCATAAATACCTTGTAATTTGTTTCTTCTTTTTTCCAAACTAGCCTGCTCTTTTTTCACCAAATTTTTAAAATTATCCTTGATTAAAAAACTATTTAGATTAAGCAATTCTCTCATTTTTTTCTTTATTTCGGGAAAATTAGTTAAAAATCCCCCTTTCCATTTGTTAACGATATAAGGCATACCACATTTAATGGCGGCCTCTTTCACGATATCACGAGTATGTTTTTTAGTGGATAGAAATAAAATAGTCTTTTTTTTTTTAATTAATGTCTGAATATAATTGCCAACTTCTTGGCAACTAATAATAATTTTCTGTAAGTCTAGTATGTTGAACTTATT